ACTACTTTAGAGGAAACAAAAGTAAAAAGGCACAGCTTTGAGAAATTTCAAACTTGGTGGGAGTTGGAGTGAAGTAAGATGCAACTATAAAAACTTTTACTATATATTGAATGCTGACTGTGGATAAAGGTTATTACAGCCATGATTCTCTTTGTAATTTTCATTCTATTACGTGGTAAATATTAATATGTCCTTTTGCATATATGATAATAGGAGTTTATTCTGAAGTAACATACATGCTCCAAGTCCTTCAGCTAGTAAGCATCAGAGGCCAGAGGTGACAGTAGAACCCAGGACTCTGGCTACAAAGCCTCTTGCTCCTTGTACTATACCTGTTACTACGGGAATATCTATAGAGAGCAATGAGCATCCTCTCAGTATTAAGAAATGCTGACTGAAATAGAGCCAAGGAATCTCAGAAGCTGGAAGAGACCTCAGTAGTCAATGAACTCTAACCTCACATTCAGTGTAAGACTCCCATTCAGTCTTTAGCCTTCTGTCCCTTATGCCAGTTTCTCAAAGTGTGTCAGAGGACCTCGTGCCTGCTTCAGAATCACCTACAGTACCAGCGGAAATGCAGATTCCTGGGCCCTACCCAGAAACACTAAATCAGAATAGCTGGGAATGGGGCCTAAGGATCTCCATTTTTAGCAAGCACTCCAGGTTAGTGTTTTTCAAACTATAAGTCATAAAAATCAATTTAGTGAATGATGCCCTGTATTTGTTTTTTAGTAATTTTACTAAAATTACTAAAGTTTGGAACAGATTAGATTTATAGGATAAGGTAGGAATAGAAAATATCACAGGGCACTGCTTTTAGTACTGTTTCAGAAAAATTTTTTTTTCAGTTTTTATATGTGAATTAGGATATAAAAGGTATTTCTTATTATATATCTCAGTAAAAAAGTTTAAGAAATACAGCTACTTTAAACAATGTTTGTCCTTGTTTTTATTTCTCCATTGAAATAAGTTCTCTTTAATTATTCCCTTCTATAGAATAATTAATGAGTAAACTTCAACCTTCCATGTCCTTTTTAGGATCTGTTATTCCATTCCAGGAGTTTATTTATTCCCTAATCTTTTTGGTTTAATTATTTAATCAATACTTTACAATATTTTTTAATTTTCTACAATTTCATGAAATCCAACACATTATTATTTTTACTTTGCATTTTATACCTGAAGTTATTTTACTATCTAGATCCTTGAACTGACTGACATACTTTAACTTATTAAGTTTATGTTTCAGTAGGTGTGTCTATAATCCTTTAAGCCTGTCATTCCCTTAGCCTTCCATCTTCCTATTTATACATACTTTTAGACAGAATTCTTTACTGGGTTGCCTTCTTTTGCATTTCTATTGTATAACTGGTACTTATTTTAATTCTCACCTTATCTTTTTCTTTTAAAGAAAAAAATGAAAACAATCGCCATTAATACATGAAGATTTTCTGGGTGTATCTTTACAGTTTTAAAATGATGTCTTGGTGTTTCTAGGAACTGTAATTGTCTTCTAAGGCAGCAGTCCTCAATCTTTTTGGCACCAGGGACAGTACTCCTCTGAGAATCTAATGCCTGATGATCTGAAGTGGAGATGAGGCAGTGATGCAAATACTGAGGAGTGGCTGCACATACATCTAAGCTTTGCTCACTCATCTCCTGCTGTGCGGCCTGGTTCCTAACTGGCCACCGACTGATACCTGGGGCTTGGGGACCCCTCTTCTAAGGAATAACATGAACACATATGAATGTCGAGTGAAGCTGTACTCAAAAAGTACTTTGCTCAGGTGACTGAGGAAATATATGACTTAAAATGTAGAAATTTCTACAATTCCACACAGTATGGGATGACTGCCCTTGAGGTAGTACAAACTCACTGATTGAATGACAGTCACAGAGACTCAAGCTGGAAGAAACTCCATTCAGTCTTTGGCCTTAGTTCTTACTCCCTTCAGAGCCCTGTTTCTCAAAGTGGAACCTGAGGAACATCTGCATCCAATTTACCTGAGGCACGTGATAAAAACAAAAGCTGTGAAATTACAATGTTTTTATAATGTGGGTTTGTTTTCATTTCATAGTGAGAGGAGGGAAGCTGACTAAAAATATAGGATACCATTCAGACCTATTTTAAAAGGTGCCCTTAATGATGAAATGTTAAAAAAAAAAAAAAAAAGAGGTGGACTTCAAATGACAAGTTCAAGTTATGTACCTGCTTAAGTTTAAACCTTAAAATACAGGTAATCTCACACTGGTGGTGATGCAATATGCCAAAATAACTGCCTAAATTTAGTAATTTAGAACATTTAAATATCACGATTTTAAACATTTCTGAACTTTTGTAAAACAATAATTTCAGGGATTTCCTTTAATACAGCAAAAACAAGTATGGCTATAATGAGACTATTTTCAAAAGTTTTTTTTAATAGAATTGAGCTGTGAGGTCTTTATTACTTCTGTTGAAGATCCCCAGTATTAAAGTAATTGATATTCATGGTAAGATCCCATAACATACCATCCCACTTCTTTCACTCATGCTCTTTAGAAAATGCAGAAAATGTTAACTTTATGTTAGCTGGTGATTAATTAAAATTATGTTTGTAATTTTACTGGAAAATATGGCTTTATAAATAGTTTAGCTGCCAAGTTAGATTTTTATGAGTTGTGCCACATTATTTTAAGATAATTGTTTCTTATTATTTTACTACATACGAAAAAAAATCTTATCAATTACATAGTTACTTACAGCACAAACTATAATTACATGTTCATCCTAGCTTTCACTTAGAGCTATGTTCTAAATTCAATATCAAAACATATTTCCTGTTTCAATGGATTAAGCATAAAGATCATATAAAAGGTCAAAAAAGCAGACACTTTTCAAGTTGTGTAGCAGAGCTATATGTTAAAGGTAGTGCTATCTCACAAACTCTTAAATCCTGAACTTTTTCTTTAAATTGGATGAGATCAAGATAGATTATTTTAAAAGGTATCAGAATTGTAAAGTTAATTTCTAAGTCTCTAGTGGAAGATTTTTCTAGAACTGCCACAGTACCTCCGAATATATAGCCCTAAAAAACAACGTAGATGAATATGAACCCCCTTTTCAATAGCTAGCATTAGATGTGAAATGCAAATTAAGACTTCAGTTTCAGAACTTAATAGAGATGTGGAATAATAAAATGTAAACTTTGGAAACTTGGCAATGGAGAAGCAAAACTTTTATTTAAATTCTTATTTTGATAATTAAGCCTCAAATCTAATAAATACATTTTAATTGCAAATAACTAGTAATTCATTGTCGGGGTGACTTTTTTAGATCACTATGACAAGTTTTATATTATGAAAACTACTCTGACTTCTAAGACCAGGACTGTTCTTGAAAATATTGTTTTAATGAAGCAGTTATTTGATATCTCAAAAACTGCAAGTGCTCATTGGATCGCTTTTATTCTGGAAATTACAGATTCCCATTTTAAATTTTGAATGGTCAAATATATTTCCATGGAGAAAAAACTAACATTAAAGGTTTGCTTCAGTGAACAAAATAATGTGCCTCACATGTATAAATGTGGCGTTCTTTAGTAATCAGGAATGCACTTTGAATACTCTTGCCATATGTTCAAAAATGAAAAACTTCTCTTGTAAACAAGCTTTAAAAAAAATCAAAGACATAAAATCCACGTAATGTGGTATGCTCTAAATTCATCTTACAGAACCATCTCAGTCTGACCAGTCCAATTGACTTGTTATATATGTGACATATTAGGAGGTTCTCTATCTGAAATAACGTGATATTTACATTCCATAAAATATGTTGGACACAGAGTTTACAGTATATCTCATCTAAGGTTCTCAGCAATATCAAAGTACATTTTGCTACCATATGGAAACTACCAGAAAGGCCTACAAATTCAATTCCTCTTAATACTAAGATGACCTTTTAGTAACGCGCACAATATCCCAGCAAGCCAAAAAACAATACAGACAAGTTCCCTTTTCTTTTTCTTTTATGGAAAACTGAGTCCAAGTCCATTTTCATTCAGAAAATATAATCTCTATCTTAACTATGGTAATATTATAAAGCACCACAGCTGATTTATACAATGTAGTATAACCAGTTTTCTTAAAATATCAGCACCTCAAGAGTACCTGAAGAGTTCCTTACAATGGAGGGGCAAAATTACAAGTTGGTTGTCTGCAGTTTGGCCTCACCGTGATGCTTTCAAACGTTCTATAAACTCTCAGTTTTCACCTACACCATCACTGCCCACAAACTCTTCAGGCACTTGCTGTCCCACACATTATTTCACCGATTTTTCCATTTGGAAGGCATGTATCTGAAAAAGGCACTTAACAACGGATTTCAAAGTCACTGTTTATTGTATATACAGGCTGCTAAAATGTACCAAATACATAAATTTTGAAGGAAATTATGATCAGTTTGGACAGTTATTTACCTTTTGAATCAAGCTGGTATACTAACTGCTATATTTACTCTACTGCCCAGGACACCCTTTCCCACCACAAAAGTAACTGACACAAACAGCACAAGTTACCCAAGAAAGAGCACCTAGGAAAGAGTAAGCAAATGTCAGTCAATATAATTAGACCTTCTGCACAATGCTTCCTTGGGTTTTTAATAATTCTCTCCACTCATAAGCTGCAATATTTCTACAATATCATCTAGCATTAAATGTCCTAGGCCTTCAACTCTGTAAAATTTCACTATCAATTAAAACGCCTACTTGTAAATAAGTTTTCAAATGATACTTGCAGATAAACGTGAAATGAACATTTAAACTACCTTAAAATAATAACAACAGCAGATGAAATCTAAATACTAAGAATCCTAAACTGGTTTCTGCTGTGGGAAACTTAGTAAGACAAGCTTTTGGGGTGTTGCAACCCCAACAAAGCATCTTCTTCTGTAAACAGTAAGGACCCTTATGTCATTACTAATAGACATCCAGGTTTCCTGTATGAAGAGTTTGCATACTTACCCAGGAAGGCAAATGGAAAGTACAAAGGGAGAAGATGAACTGCGGCAAACCCTTTGTCATATGATAGTGACCTATAAAGTATCAAATAAAGGTACATCGTCAGTATGGTAGAGCTTTACAATAGAGTCTCAACTCCTGCAACACCTATTAAGAAGGACCCCGAAACCTAGGAGTCCAGCTCCCCACCAATTCCTCCCTCTCTCCACCGCCAGCCTCACGCGCGAATTGTGGGGCAATAAAGGCAAAGAAGCTCCCTGTATTCAAAGGGCACAGGCTGAGGGTAGCCCAGCTGGCATTCCAGGGTGTCTCCAGCACCCTCTCTCCCTACTCCCCCCATGTACAAAGCAGAAAGTTGATCCATTCCGCAAACCCAAAACCCATACCGCGATCATTCATCAACTTGAACAAGTGATCGCCGCCCCCAAGACAAATACACCAGTAACCAAATCATAGAATCGATAGGCAGCCCAAGCCTCCACTGTGCCCAGGAGCCAGCCGGAGGTAGCACAGCGATGGCAGCGGGTCCAGGTAGAGTAGCGCTCAACCCTGCAGACCAGGGCTGCCACAGCCGTCACCCAAACGCCCGGCTCCAGTCACAATCCCGAGATTGGAGACTGGAACTGAGCGAGGAAACACATTCACCAGAGCCCCCGGCGGCAAGTGCAGGGCCACCAGGTCTTGGAGGTCGGGGTGGGGGAAGCTAGGAAACCGAGAGGGAGGAAAGGAGCAAGAGATCCCACCCCCGCTTTGTTGCTGGTCACCATCAAGTTTGCATCTTAGTACAAAATGTCGATCTTAAAGGCTGACAAGACAGAGGCAGAGGGAGAAAGAGAAAGGGAATAGAGTCCATCTTGCTTTGGGGAAGAGGGGAGAGGGAAAAAATGAAGTGTAAATCCCACACTCCAGGCGTAAAAGTCTGCTAAACACCTTTCCGTAACGGAGGAGCAACGAGTGGGGTGTCCCCATACCCGTGCCCGCTCGAACTGGCGGCGGTCTGGGCAGAAAACGCCTCCCTCTTCTCCTCTTCCTCCTCCTTCCCCTCCTCCTCCTCCTCCTCCCGCGGGCCCGGACGAAGATCCCGCCGCCACCGCCGCTGCCTCCGCTGCCCCCCGGGGAGGCACCGCCGCCCAGCCTGGCGCTGCCATTCCGGGCTTGGACCGCGCAGCGCGCGTGGGGCCGGGCGCCGGGTATCCTCGCAGGGACGTCTGCGCCGGGGACCCCCGCACCCCATCGCCGCGGGCTGGCTACAGAAGTCGCGCGAGCAGAGGTGGTGGCCGCGCACAGAAGAGGGGGCGCGCGTGGGGCCCCCACGCCGCGAGTGGGCAACCCCAGGGGATGATGAAGAACGCCCCTCCCCGCGCAGGGAAAGTACCCCGGTCCCCGGCAGCCCGGCGTCCGCGGCCGGGAGACGAGAACTGGACGTGTCATTAGCAGGACAGGCAATGGTTTCAAAGCCCCAGGCCAATGACCATTAGCAGAGGCAGAGCTCGCTCCGTCCCCATCCCCCACAACCTCCACCCACCTTCCCACTTCGAACCCCCCCCGCCACCCTCCACCCCACCTCGCGAAACTTTTCAACAAGATCCACCTGGACTAATTTGTCCTCACAGTTAAAATGTTGACTAGACCCTACACATCGGGAGGGAAGGGGAATGCACGCTTTATTTTCCTTTCTACAGAAAGGAAAGCAAAAAATAGCTTCTCTCTCCGTCTCTCCCTCTCCGCCCCCCCTCTGTCGTACATGTTGTGTCTTAGCTTTTTGCATCGTTTCGTTTTACCTTCCTCATTTAGCAGAAATGATCGCAGATATTTCACACATTAACGTGTTCCAGATTCTTGGATTCGGGGTCCTTGTAAATTACAGGACTCGCGTTTGGTCTCAGTTACGTTAAGTTTCATCAATAACAAAAAATTAAAAAATAATAATAATACATTTCTGAGGGTGAGCAAGCGAGACGAGGTGGAGGAGGAAAAGAAACCTCGAGTCTGATTTCTGTAATTTACTAGCGACCCGGATCGCAGCAAATAACAGTGTAACACGAGTGTGGCTTAAGAGGGCTGGGGAGCTCTTTCTAGAGGCATCGACCCCATCCCTGAATAAAGGATCTGCAAGTTTTCTGTCATCGCGACCATGCAATGCCATAACTTACCTTCAGAAATAAGACTTTAAACAGCCAAGGCCTTCCTCCTCCCCTCCGCCGCCACCCCCAGCCTCGCTCTCTCCACCTTAAACTTATTGACACAACATAATCCCACATTCAAGCAAAATCCTGACACAGCCTCCCTCCTCCTCTCCCCCCTCCTCTCTTCCCTCCCGTTCTCTCCCTCTCTCTCTCCCGTTCTCTCTCTCTCTCTCTCCCCCACTCTCGTCCCCCCCCTTCCCTCCCTCTTCTCTCTCCCCTTTTCCCTCGCCCTCTTCCCCTTCTCCCCCTATTCTTCCTACTGCCTACTCTGGCACTAAAACAGCACTTTCTCTACTCGCCGCGCATTTGGTTAGGGGTGGGGGGTGAGAGGGCACCGATCTCCGGGCCGGAACACCCAAATCCCAACTCTCCAGATGAACGAGCAACGGGGCTGCTGTTCCCGGTCACCGACGCACACGAAACGTTCCATAAATCCACTGAGGGCTGGCTCCTCGTACCTTCCTCCCCTGCCCCTGCTCCCCAGGCCCCACCTCCCCGGCAGCCGAGACCAGGCTGGGATCCACGTACTTTCGCCGAGATGAAGTTTGGGGCTCCCCGGGCAGCCACGAGCCGCCCGCTGGCGTGAGGCTCTGTTGTTGTTTTCCTCGGGCTGCTCCTGCCCGCGCCCCGGCTCCCGTGCCCCTCTCGGGCGGCGCTGCCTGTGTGCCGAGAGGTGCTGGTTGCAAACGCAGCCTGGCACCGGCTGGCCTACTACTCCCCAGCCCGGCCCCCAGCCTCCCGCCCGCAGGGCACTGCCTCCGCGCCCCCCGCCCCCCGCCGGCGCGGCCACTGCGACCCTCGACCCCGACCTCTCCCGACCCAAAGTTTTGGCGGAGGGGGAAAGTACCCGGGGAGCGGGCCGGCTGGCGGCGGCTCCGGACGCACGGGGTTCCCTCCGTCTTCCTCAAGTCCACCCTACCGGCTGCCGCCGCCGCCGCCGCCGCTGCTCCTCCCGCGGAGTCCTTGGGGCTGCAGCCCCGGCGGCTCGCAAGTGAGTAGGAAAACAGAAAGTGCGGGGAGAGCGCCCAGGAAGGGCTAAGGATGAGGGGCGCTTACCTCGCGGGCTCGCCGGCCGTGAGGGCGTGTGTGTGTGGCTCGCCCTCCGCGGCCAGTCAGGGTTTCTCTATGGGAAAGTGGAGAGGAGCTCGCGGAGCCGCTCTGCCTCCGCTTCACTGTACACTGCTCCACATACAGTACATGCAACCGGGAGAGACTGAAAACACTCATTTTATATAAGGCAGCCTGCCATTGGCCCGCGCCATGACAGACAGGCCGCGCGGCCAAACAGAAGGCCCGTTACACCCAAACACACGCACACATACACACATTTTCAGAGACACACAAAGATCATCACATTTTCTATTTTCTAATGTTCGGGACCTGTAGACAGTAGGAGAGGACAGGTAGAGAGGCCCAGCAGAGTGAGGTAAGGGCGAAAAACCCTGTCTGCCCCAAGTTGCAAGGTTCGAAACTGGTGTCCTTTTGACTTGGGAGGGTTATAGTAATAAACTACAACTCCACTGGATATGGAAGTGAGGGGGTTTTTAATCGCTGCTGTGTGGTGCCCCATGGAAGAGGCGTGCATTGTGTTATGATTTTACAGCCTGACCTGGCTGACTAGTCGCCAAGAAAGGCTTTTATCAGCTTGATTTTTTTTTTTTTTTGTCAATGGGTTATCTATCACATAGGCCAAAATAGTGAAAGATAAGTTTATTAGGACTGTAGTGCATGAGGTTGTTAATGCTTCACTCGTAAGTAAATTCAGAAAAATCGATACAACAATACACAGAAACAAAGATAAACATTTTGCTGAAATAGCCAATCTACTTTTAGCTGACCAGAGGGACTGCACATCACCTGTGTGGGCATACAAACTACTGTAAGGCAGAATAAGTCATGGAAGATTGTTCGTGGACCCTTTCTCTTAAAAATAGACCTTTCGAATCAATAGACCCAAGATTTATATTTTGCATATTATGTATATGATACTGACTTTACATATTTCACATCATATGTGAACATCACATGTTGAGCGACTTGGAGATGGTGAACCCACGGAATTCTTTCTGATTTTTTTCTATGATGCATCTTCAACAGATTATATTAGACCATCCTATATTAGACCAAGTCAACAGGTTGCTGGGGAAAAAGCCATAGCTGGAAATTAAGAGGAATAAATTCTAGACCCAGCTCTTAAAAGAGCCGACCAATCTTGAGCAACTAACTTATCCTCTTAAATGTTCAGAATTGGTGTTGAGTTTTGTTTTAATTATTTTTCTTTTAAAATTAAAGTCAGAAGCTTCCCCCAAGTTCCCTTAGTTAAATGTTCATTCATTATATACTAGGTACCAGGCATTGTCATAGGCTCTCGATGTTTTCTTAAGCTTCCTTCTGATTTAAGAGTGTGTGAATTATTCTTAAACATAAACATTTTGAAGATTAAATAAACGGTACAATTGTATGGCCTAGATGCATAGCTTTAAAACTTAAAGCTGAGTAAGAGAACTTACTTCAAATCCCCTTTTATTTCCTTGATACTATTTTAAGGTTTTCTTTTTCACATCCATAAAGTTATCAAATGTGTGTGTGTGTGTGTGTGTGTGTGTGTGTGTGTGTGAAAGAGAAAGGAGGAGAAATAGATACTGAGAAAACTTAAGTTTATGAAGTTTAGAAAACAAATAGTGGTATTTAGAAATGTGATGTTTTGTTTGTTTTTTAATGAAAATGATTTTTAAAAGGGAAAAATATATAAAATCACAGCATTTTAAACTGATGATAGTAAAAGTTATATTTAATGACACTGCATTTAGTTTCAGAAGGAACAAAGCGTTCTTTAGCCGCACTATATTTCTATGGGGTTGGTTCTAAGTATTATTATCTCCATTTTATCCATAAGAGAAATGAGACAGGGAAAAATTATATAACCTGCTCAATATTACACAGAATGCCAGTGGAAAAGGAATTTAAACCCAGGACTGGACTCTTATCCAACAAAGGTTTTGAGTAACTTGACAGCCCTTCCTTCAAAATGACAAAGTTCAGGGACAAGAGTCAGATGGAAGAAAAACCAGAAAAAAACTTTGTCAGGATTTTACTATGCTCTTTTTTGAAGAGGAAAAAAATCAAAACCAAGTTGCCACATTTAATTGCTGAGTGAAATGCTATAGATTATTTGCTAGCATATATATGTTGCAAAATATATAAAAGACCAGTCTACTCCCCCCCCCTGACCCCAACCCTAACCACAGGAAAAACTTCTTTATTTCTTTACGATCACAAAGATTTTTTTTTAGTTGAATTACACTTAGCTTAGAATTACTAAGAGCTACAGTTTCAAACTTTTAGATCATGCATTGCTATTAGTAAAATGTTTGAGTGTGTACCCTCAATATACATATATATATTTATATATACATTTTTAAGTGTACCACTGCATAGATATATAATTTATTATTACAAAGCATACTCACAAAAATGAAATAAAAAGCCTGAGCTAAAAATAAAATTAAATATGAGTTTTAATATTTTCTTTTTAGAGTCCTATGATACAGTCTTAGGACATGCCTCAGAGTTTTGCATTCAAATCTGGAGACCTCTGACAGTACAAGGTACTAACTGACCAGAACTGATGCAAGAGGGCATGAAGTGCATTGAAATGACTTGTTGCAAGTCATTACTGCTACTAGAAAACTGGTGGGTCCATGAAGCCTTAGATTAGGAGAATGACACATTCTTTTTTAACACATTATAAGTTAATGGTGTGTTAGGCATTATGTGGCAGTTCAAGCCACATAACGTTCATTCAATATTCGTTTGCAGATCATTTATTGAGAAGGATCTGGGTGCTAGGCACTTGTGCATGCCAGATTCCGGAAAAGGAAAATTGCCTTCTCCTAAGAGAAGTGATGGAGTAGAATTCCACTCTCTTGTATGATAGATAAAGGCCTCCCCACTAAGTGAGGAAAAGAAGCTCACAACTAAATGTAATGTAGTATTTTACCATTTTGGAAATACTTTTTAGATTTTTAACTATCATTTAAGAATAAATATAAAGAAATTTTAAATGCCAGTGATGCTTTTTCCCAACCATATAAAAATATGGTTGGGAAAAATCATAGATTTAATAGAGTTTATTTAATTTTTATAATGTAGGGTTATAAAAATAAAAACAACTGTTGGGTCCCTGGGAAAAAAATGGCTTAAGAAGGTCTATATTTTCCTTTCTCATTTTCACATTTGGTGATACAAGTTGAACTTACAGTTAGCATATTATTCCTTCTCATGGCATTGATTGTCCATTTTCTTAATTTTATTTTATGAGTTCTTTGTTGTGAGCCACATGAGATAATTTTTGGAGAATAAATTTAAATGTGTGTAAATGTGTATGTACAAGTGTATATGTTATTTAAATATGTCTATAAATAACATTTTATTTCTTTATTCATGAATCGCTTCTTTATACTAATTCAAATCCTGATTTCACCACTTCCTAACTGTGTAGGAAAAATTCCTTAATCACTATTAGACTCAGTTTCTTTATTTGTAAAGGAGACTTGTTGTAACTTACTTGCCCAGTGTTTGCAATTTCTCTTTTGCCTACATTCTAACTCCAGCATCTCCACACATAAAAGGGATGTGAGCCTGATCCCAGATAAAGCAAACATCCTATTGGGTGACCATTATTAAGCACCTAAAAAGGCAAACTTGTAATAAATCACTCTTTGAAACAAGCCTTGTTTTGTGCATTGAAACTCTAGATAGTTCCAGTGGTGAGGGTCTGCCTTACGTAGCAGTTTTTGACTTGTACTTGACCTTGTCGAACTCACTCTTTTTCCCTCTATAAGAAAAAAAAAAAAATAGAGAAAATCATATGTCTTTCCTCAAGGCTAATGCAAAAGATTCAAAAATCGGAACTCAATTAGCACCAATACAAAAATTCATAACCTTGAAGAGAACCAGCTTTCTAGTGGATCCCAGCAAAGTTAAAGATAAGAAAGAAAGATGTTAGGTAAAACATTGCAGAATTCCCACTCTCCTGTGATCTTCTGTAGCATTTCATCTGTATAACTCTTAAGGC